AATATTATAAGATGCAGTTTCTTTCTCATTAATTCTATTAATTCTTTTAATCGGACGTAACTTCTTTATAATTCATACACATAATTTTTGATAACCTAACATATATACGTAATAAATTAATATACCACACGACATCGTTTATCTGTATTTGGCTTTTCTATATTTACAATATTTAAAGGTTTAAATCTCATTTATAAATCGGAATAAAAGACGTTAGAATTTCTGTCGTATGACGTAATATCGGTAATATAGATTTTTATTAGTTTTTCCGAGATGCTGAAAGGAATAGTTTGACGAAATTAATGGAGTAGAAATATAACATTTCTTATACAATAAGACCGACTAATTCAGTTCCGAGGTTGGTCTAGTTAGATAATCACTTATATCTCTTGCTTCATAACTGATACATTAGCGATGGAGATTAACATTTCAAATGGAAAAGCAATATATCATCGATACACTCGAATAAGTAGCGTCTTGGTTACAATCTATAATATATTCAAATTGTAAAATTATCCAATTACAAGTATCAAAGCTAGCATAATCAAAACGCGTTTTAATTAAATTGCTCCTTAAATTAGAGTAGATTTAATCGGGGCCTCTTTCGTGTACCACTTACAATAATTACCTGCGAACAGCAGCTCTCATAAAATTTACATAGCGCACTTTCCGTGGTGGTATCGGATACGTCCTGGCTGTCTGGCAATAAGCTTGGGGGATACAACCTTTCCTGAAGCTGCATGGTAGAAAAACCTTGCGTTATCGGTTACGGAATAGAAATTATAACATAGACTGCGAATTCTCTCCGCGTGTAACATTTCGCGAACGTTCACGCGAATTTTCCCAGTCTCTCCGGATCGTCCGGATTCCAGCTGTTTCAAGGTTTTTTTTACGCGACTTATGTCTCCGATAAGTGCGACCATCGGTAACAACATCGCCGCGGAGCTCGCAAATCGGGCGTAGGGAGGTGTGGTTTAATGAATGTCGGATAGAACAACGGTTTATCTACCGTCTGGCGTAGCTGAATAATCGGCGGCCTTGAAATACAGTCTAACCGGATACCTGGCGACACTGGGCGCGACATGGGCAAGAGAAGTGCGAGGATTAGTCGTATAAATCGCACCCGGACCTGGAATCGCGATGGAACGGACGACGGAGTTATTGTAGGCATTTTTCCTCCTCGGCACTTCCCATTCCTCTCGTTCCTTTACATATCTCATCCACTCTCTTTACTCTTTCTCTCTCTCTCTCTCTCTCTCGGCCGTTCTTTTACATTCCACCTCTATTCCCTTCCCTTTCTTTAACATGCGCCTCCTATCCGATCCTCTCCAACTCTATCGTTCTGGCAGCAGAGGCTGCAGTGACCCGAGACGGCGATCAAGCGAGTCGTGGGTCGTGGCTATGTCGTATCTCCTCTCTCGTCCCTCTACTCCTTTCCCCCGCCCGTTCTCCTTCATCTGGCAAACTGTCTACATTTTTCACCGGCTCGAGATTTTATTTGCCCGCAGCGCCGCGAAATTAAGCCGTTTTGAGATATTTATGAATGGATCGCTGAGGGGCTCACGCATGGTCCCTCCGGCGGTCGAACAAAGAGGGGTTAGGCCGTAATGCGACATATCTAGATGCGAAGGTTTGTGATTTGCTATCAAGACTAGACAGTGTTGGCGATATTGCAAAATCTGTTTAACACTTTTTTCGACGCACTATCGTCACGTTACAGTTGCTCAAATTTTTTGCATTGTGCCAGTACAATGGATAGTCCAGAGGCTAGTTAATTTTCAGATGGAGTCCAGATGACACTTCAGAGCGTTCTAGTGGTAGTGCGTGACTCATTAATAAATTAGATATCCTTAACTCGCACTTGATGCTTCGATCGAAGGAATAATATAGCTACAGTGTTAAGATGATACTGGCATTTACATAGTGATGACAGTATTGATTGCCTAAATGAGCTGCTTCATAAACGCGAAAGCATCTGAGGGCATCTGGCAATATCGAATGGACATTGTTCAATACATAATTTAATAGATTTAAGAACATAAGTAAGGAATAATTCTTTGGGTAGCTATATATAAAAAATGGCGATTTGATGAAATCTGAGTTCGTAGTAGTACAGACTGTCGGACATAGTCTGACAAACTTCCACAATATCCACGATTGTTCCCCGAGCTGCATGCTAAAGCAGACTTAAAGCAGCTATTAAACTTAGTATATGACCGTAATTAGACACAGGCCTGTGCCATCCATAATGCGTATTTCTGTGCGCGCATCCCATCGTGTCGCCCTTCTGTAGAGTGGCAATGGACCGCTGACAATTGACTATAATTTATTTGTCTCCGAATCATTTACGACAGAGCGTTAATTAACGCTTTTTGCGATAGCAATCTTTTATCCCATGCATGAATTTCTGTTTTTCTACGGTAATGTAATCTCAACATAAAAAGAAGTATTGAATGCTTTTTTTCCTATATGTTTATGCCTACGTAAAGAAAATTATTAATCGCGTTAGCTATCATTTACATATTACGCTCTTCAAAAACGTTTTGCGTTTTCATTTTAGTAAAGAAACTTTTTTTTTTATTTTTATCGAACGACTATCCATTTCACGCTTCTGCTAAGCCTCCGCCTTAACGCGCAACTTTATTCTCGTTGGATAATTCTGGCAACAGCGGCATTAGTTTTCCCTGTCGAAATTATTGATAATATACTCGCACACCAGCACTTCGCCGATAGGCCATATTTATGGCGAATGGAGTGGGCGCAATCAAGTTCACCCGTCTTCCAAGACCGACGTGACGGGCCCTCCTAGAGTCGGTGGAGAGAGGATGCAACCAAGAGTTTTCTGGTTGCTGTGCTAGGCTTGCTCCTGCGTGATATGCCGCCAGGAGGATGGAATGGTTTCCCCTCTGGGTTGCCAAGGTAACCTATGTCCCACCCTTCGGGCTTCGGTAACCACCCCGTGGCTGCAGCGAACGTACGTGTGCCAAACTGACGCACACGACCGTGCTAAAAACGGTGTTGATTCGCACCAACACGGACGCACAGCTGGTCCTACCACACGTACGTAAAAAGCGGAATTCGTGAGTGTGGCCGCTGATTCAGGTACACGCGTACACCACCGCCGCGAGCTTGTGGACCGCATTGGCGAGAACGGCCATGCTGAATTCAATATCAGCATTCTCTGCATTCTCCAAGAGTTTTCTGCTCGGCCCAGAGCGATACGTATTTGATGGGTCATCCTGCATCGAAAATTGCGCACGTGCGTGTCATTCGAACTCCCGATCGCTGTATACAGCATGAGTATCATTATGACGAAAGAAAACACGGCATCTCTCGCTTAAATCTGTCATAGGGTAATATCCCCTTTGCTATTTGTTAATTCGATTCCCCGACATGCTATTCCGTAAGATGTAAGCAAATCACGACTACTACATGGCTATTACCATAACTCGAGTGTAAATTGCGATCGCTTATACTAAGCCTCATAAATAGCATTACTGTCTTCTACGAAATATGATTATGGTTCAGTTTTATTTATTTATGAAAATGAATGTGTAATATTTCACGTAGTACATTCTTCTCGATTACGATCCAGCAAGTTCAGAGCTAACGATTATCAAAATGTAATTACATCTTTTTTTTCACGGTTCTTTAATTTCCGACGGTAAAATCTTGCTCATTAAAATTGCAGTTTTGATTAAAAGATTCTCTATTTTATATGGCTATTAAATATAAAAACTGCAATACTTTTATTTACATTTGTACATATATATTTTTACATATACATATAGCTATGCTATTTTCAATGCATCTGTAGCTAATTATATATACATATATATTGTTACTTACTACATCCCTTCGATTTCCAACCAATATAATAATTAATTTTCTCACTTTTTTATCTTCTTGATACAATCTTCGTACTCTCGTAAAATAATCGGAAAGAAAAATCTTGCTATCTTTTATTGGTCAGTAGCACGCATTTGCTTCATCACGAGGCAATAATATAGCCACTCAGCGTCGCTCCGCGAATGATGGTATTATGGCTGTCCACTCTTTGCACACTAAAGAACCGGTTTCTTAGCGATTTCTTCAGAAAAGAGATGCACTTCGCTCGTGGCGACAACTGAAAGTGAAGTTACCTTTGAATTGATTAAAAATACAAATTGATGAAAATATATTTGAAATTCAGTGACATTACAGTGTAAAGGGATCATTTATATGTGACTATCGCGGAGTTAAATTTGTTTCAATAGCTTTTACTTATAATTTCCTGATTATTTTCACATGTAATTTTAATTGTTATTACTGTTATTTGATTATAGCCAATACGTGCACTGTTGTAGAAACGATATCCAAATAAATCCTGCAACGTCGAGCGAACTTTTTTACCTGTTCTTCGGCGTTTCGATTTGTATCTTTGAAACCCGTAAAAAATTTAAAGTCGCCTGTATCTTTGTTTATGACATAAATTCTTGGAGAAAGTTAAACGAGTAGCATTAGAAAGGGTTCGTTGTTAACTTTCGTGAAAGCTTCTTGGAAATTTTCTATTTTTATTTATCCTCTTTTTTACATGTTTTAACCCTCGCAATAAGCGGCAGGTTGAAAGCGGCATTTTTTTCTTTTCACAGAGAGAGAAAGAGAGAGAGAAAGTGAAAAGAGAGAGTTAAGATTTGTGATGGGGTGTGAAGAGCACCTGAAATTATTAGTTACAAACAAGAAAGAGTTTATTCTTACTTGAAATTATTGTTATTGGCGAAATAAATTTCACGCTTCATAAAAATTTAATAAAAAAATTGATCAAAGATGTTTACGGTACAAATGTTTTTTACAGAAATATACGAAAAAAAGCTTTTAGATTGAAAATTGTTTTAAACATGTCTTATAATTTTAAATTTGGCTGAATATATTTGTTGCGCATTAACATTACAGTTTATCTGAGAAAAGGTGTCTAGAGACTATCGAGTGGTCTCAAAAATTAGATTTCTTAACATTTTCAGGTCCGAATGGCTGTCCGAGGCGCAGAGGTCGGCAAACATACACACGGTTCCAAACGTTGGAATTAGAAAAAGAATTTCACTTTAATCACTATTTGACGCGACGGCGACGAATAGAGATCGCGCATGCGCTCTGTCTAACGGAGCGACAGATCAAGATCTGGTTCCAGAATCGGCGAATGAAACTGAAAAAAGAGTTGAGGGCAGTCAAAGAGATTAACGAACAAGCCAGACGCGAGCGTGAGGAGCAAGATATGATGAAGAAACAGCAGGCGGAGAAACAGGCCAAGTTACAGCAGGAGCAGCAGAGCGCCGCTCTTCAGCATCAGCAGCAACATCACGTAAGCGGCCTGGAAAAAACGCAAAGCGATCTTCTGAAAGCAGTCAGTAAGGTACCCACATAGGATACCTTACTGAGCCGACTCTCTTTCTTTTAAGGAAGACACAAGAGACTGGAGCGGCCTGGACGAAGACTCCGAAGCGAAGTAGTTGGTAAGGTCGATCACGTAGAAGATCCTGAGTTCTCTTCCTCTCATCTTCGCACGCGAGAAACAGGTACGAAACATCTGATGCAAAGATTTTTGCGATCCGCCTCGAGTCAGTGAGCTGCTGGCTCGCAAGAAGACTTAGCGGATGCAGTCATCGGTCTTTTTTTTTTTTTTTTTTTTATCAAGAGGGGAAGATTGCGAGGATTTAGGGAACCTGGAAGATATACAGAGTGCGATCTTCTTTGGGCGACCAAAATAAAGGTACGACGAATGCCTTGCTGAGTCGGTTCTCTCTTTTGTTTTTTTAAACAAGACAGAAAAATAAGTAGATGTTACGTTAGTAAAAACTCGAAACATAGAGAATGAACGCACCCCACCCCAGCTACGTACTTACTTGGCTAGTCCCTGAAAGGCGACATGCGAAACCGCCTCGCACGGGGCTCAGCCTGTGACTGATTCCTAGAACGTATAATGTATATTGTTAATCGGGTGCTACACAATGAGCCATCGCGATTCAAATATCAAGCGATGAACGTACGAATTGGCGCGATACTGCCATGAAGAGCCAATAATTACATCGAGGCGGTGAGTAGACTAGTTTAATGGGCTGAAACTGAAGGGTTAATGGTCATATGGGCTGACAGGATCATTAATGATGACTTTTCGATTAATTGATCGAAATCTAAAAAAAAAAAAAAAACGAACTAATTAAATCAAATCTCCATAAACGAACCGGCATCCAATTGTAAGAAATCAGCGATTCATCAAAATAAGAATTTAGCTAATCTTCGATTAATCACTTACCTTGTATGTACGAATTTTCGTTGATTAGCTAGATCTTTTTTGTAGGATGCATTATCGTTTCGAAGGAAAAACGATGACGCGATTTCGCAAAAATAATTTCATCATTTTTGACGTTGAAATGTTTTATCTTCGAATCACACGCTAATATTTCCTTCGTACGATCATCAAGCAAAATTAGAAGAAGCGTAAAATTCTCGACGTTTTCATTGGAACAATGAATGTGTTTCTCGCGCGATTGCGGACTTCCAAAGAGTAACTGCGATACTTCTTCTAGATATCGGTCTACAATTATAAGCAGCGAGCGTACACGATTATTTTCCCCTACGTCGCTTCTTTCAGTGAAAAAAAAATTCAATATTTGCACGTTTTTAACGAATAACACTTTTTTAACGAATTAGCTAAATAATACTCGTGCCGATTTTGTGTATTGAAATTTTTAATTATATCCATCGAACAAATAGATTAGTCAAGTTTTATCCACATATGGGTTTTATAAAGGAAATTGTACCTTGCTTGAAGATTAACATTTGATTTTATAAAAATTATCTAGTAGAACATATATTTATAATATATGCGCTATAAAGTAGCTTTTTTCTTGAAAACAGCTCTTTCGGTACGCTCGGTTTCGCACAAAAAACCTATACTCACGGATACAAGAAAAACATATAAGAGAAACATATTTATGTTTTTCAAACATTCCGATACGTCAATTCAGATAAATGGCAAGAAATAAAACTTTTTGTTAATAATATAGTAAATTATTTTAGACACGATAAAAATTTAGGGTATTTATTTTTTTACCAATGTGTGAGAGTAAAAGTAGTATCCTATCGTGAGCAATAAAGTATCGTTGAATTCGCGAATTTTGTCGAAGAATTTAAGAAATATAAATATTATGATGAAAAGACATAAATGATATTCCGACATTGAAGAACGAGGTAACGTGCCGTGAGTATATAAACATTGGTTTTCTCAAAAGTATATCTTTCCGAACGTTATTTCTTAAAAGCGTGATATAGATGGTAAATAATGACTGTACAATATCCTTGACAACCACATTTTGTCAAGATTCTGACAAAGTAATTGTCTCGATTATCCTGCCGTTTCGATACACAAGCAAAAATTACTTACATATACACAAGTACACATAACATACGGTTAATCTATTTATTATTTCGAGAGAAAATTTAAATATTTAACTGAAATTTGGAGTAAAATGTTTTGCATGCCAAATTTTATAACAATAATTTCTATATCTTATTATCTTATAATATCTATATCTTATTTCTATAACGTTCAATCGCAAGTAATTAAGAGGTATGATTTTAATTTATGCATTTTTATATTATTCTCTTTCGTATATTAGAAATTATAGATACACGTAAGTGCTCGCAAATATACACTAATTTGAATGAAAACGAGTAACAAACGAGGGAAAAAATAAGCTACACATGGATACACACTCGTATGTATGTACGAGAAACACGAACCACATTACCGGACGAGTATCTCATTCTTACAATTAGTACATTAAATACGTAATTTGGTGTCAGGGTAGACTTTTCCATAGATATAGAACCCGTTGTTGGTATTACTTACTTAGAGTTCGTAAAAAAAAAAAGGAGAAGATAAACCTGAAAGAAATAACCGAGATATATAAATTATTGCCTAATTATTTTTTTCTCCTCCATATTAGTGCGATCGATGCATATAGGTCTTGATTTCTTATCATAGAAGTCTTAATCAAATTTTATTCAAAGTATATAACGCTATTCTTAACTTAATAAGTATAAAATCGAAAACAAACATGTCGTTGTTTAATGCTAAGCAACGTAATGTGTTCATTTTATAATTATTATTTAAAAAAATGAAATATATTATATTTATTATTATTTGTTTGAAGAATAAGATTTTAATCTAAAGATTAATATACATACACATATATGTATATTCTCTAAAATTTATATCGTCGAATTTTACTCCGAAGAGTAAAATCTCACTCTAAAAATTTGAAAATTTTTTAGAGTGTACTTTAAGGATTAAAAATTCTCAGCTTGTCTTTTTTTCAAGAGGGTATATATCTTTAGATTAAATTTTATCAATATATGTAAATATTTATATAATAGAATATACGTAGAATCTCTGGCAATACTCACTCATTTTTAGATAAAAATCAAGACCTAGGTATGGTATGGATCGCCTAATAAGTATAATGACGTAAAATCATATATTGTACACAATACCATATTATATATATTATTAAAAATAATAAGTATATATTATATAGATATATATATGAACAAAAGAAAATGAAAATCTATTGTATCTCGCATCAAAGTAGAATTTTTTTCTGATGCGGTAAAAATCTTAGGATACACTTAAACAAGTACGTAAACTGAGGGGAAAAATATCTTGTTAATTGAATGAGAAAATAGCATAATAACGATGAGCAGCTCCAAATAGACGTCCGTAATCAAAGCAAAAAAAGCATACCTAAATAAATGGAAGGAAGAACGTATTCGTATTAATACTTTACCGCTAATTTTACCTAAAGTAAAAAAAAGTAATGCTATAAATAATATTCCCATACGTAATGTAATGATTAAGCTGCGCGTATGAGTCCGCACGTACGATGTACTCACGTATCTCCTCACATAGCGAAGTACCTACTTACATACCGTAATCGTAATAGTGTTTTAACATGTAACGTGCAAAATGAAAAAGAATGAAGTAGAACATAATATATGCGTGTGTAAGATTAAACAGTTTTGCAGAAATTAGGTTTCAGTAAGGTAGCAAGAGCACTCGCAGAAATATGGTCGCATTCACGGATGTAATAAGCGCTCAGCGTTGCTGATTAAAATATAAGTATTCATGGAATATACTTTAAACATAATGTTAATAGTGATATGATGTGTACGTTTGAAGATAATAATTATTTACAGTTAATATAACTGTTGACAAAATTTATTGAATTAAATTTGCAAATTTAGAGATTGAGTGATGTATTAAAATTAAATCGATAAAGTTTGGTCCCTCTTTTTAAATTTTTATCAGCAAAATCTTTGAATTTAGATCACGAAAGTATTTGAATAATTTTGCGAAATGTTTAATTGACAATTACGAAAGTAAGGTTGCATTTTAATTTTTAAAATATTTTTTTTTTAATAAAGAAATAATGTTCTTGATTGAACGGTTTCTTGATCAAAATACACTTATTTTTTATTATACATATATCAATATGACCACTATGACCAATATACATGTCGAGCCATATTTCGTGCTTGTGCTCAATTTACGCATATAAATATGCAAAAACATTATGGAACGACACAACACATATTTGTATATCGGTTCTACTCCATGTAATCTGTTATCGTGTTAAGAGTACACAGCGTAATTATTGTATATTTCGTGGCCGTAGCCCAAGGATCTTTCGGTTGTTCTGTCGGAATGTCCAAAAACAAAGAAATACGATCGCGCCTAAATCCAGCTCATTGTATACGGAACAAAAAAAAAGAAGTAATATCGCGGAATCGAAAAATGAGAGGGACGCACGTGACGCGGTTAGCCCCGAGAATCGGTGTAACTATTTGTAGAAAAGTTTTATAGACGCATGACTCTGCGAACTATTATTATTATTATTATCATTATCATCATCATCACTATTAATTATTATTTTTATTTTGTTTTAAAAATTCACCTGTCAAGTCCACCATATAGTTTCGAATCTACAAGGCGGACGTGCGGAGTATTAGTTTTATTATTATTATTATTATTATTATTATTATTATTATTATTAAATATGAGTTATTATTATTGCTTAGTTATGTTTTGATGTTATTGCTACAGACACCATTAATTATTAAGTGACATGGCAGCAGCAAGTACTGCGACGATGGCGGCGCCGATACGTCCGACAAATTAGAGATATACGTAATGCGTAATAATAATTATTATTAAACTTAGTCCGAAGAATTTGTACAGTATGGGACGATGAGATTTATGGCGGCCGTGTTAGTTTCTATTTACGATATACATATATTAAGTCCTTAATTTTAGCGAGGCGGTGTATGGCGAACAAAGGAGATGGCATCGAGTCGCGCCGAATTTTGCGCGCATACGTCAGGACATCGACCATAGTGTTGGACTTGAGAAATGGATCGACGCTGAGGATTAGTGATTTTTTTCTTACACCATTACGCATTTCTCTCCCA